GCCCACGAGGGCCGCGTGGAGCTCTACCACGCCGGCCGGTGGGGGACCGTCTGCGACGACCAGTGGGACGACGCCGACGCGGAAGTCATCTGCAGGCAGCTGGGCCTCAGGTTGGTTCTCCTCGTCCCTGTTCCGTTTTGCTTTAACGTTTGAACCTGGGATTTCCTGTCCCTCGTCAGGTGCCGTGTGTTCAAACTGCGTGTCCTTGGGTGAGTGGGAAATGCCAGCTTTGCGCTTCCTGGAGCCTGCGGCTCCCCAGGGAGGACGTGTGCTCCGCGGTCCCCTCTGTCCTGTCGGAGCTCCCAGGATTTTATACCCAGGAAGCTGAGCCTTGCACTGCTTCTCAGAGTAGCTTTGCGTTGCTCCTGTCAGTCCCAGAGACCTGTCAGTCACAGAGACCTGTCAGCCACAGAGACCTGTCAGTCACAGAGACCTGGCAGTCACAGAGACCTGGCAGCCACAGAGACCTGTCAGTCACAGAGACCTGGCAGTCACAGAGACCTGGCAGCCACAGAGACCTGTCAGTCACAGAGACCTGGCAGTCACAGAGACCTGGCAGCCACAGAGACCTGTCAGTCACAGAGACCTGGCAGTCACAGAGACCTGGCAGCCACAGAGACCTGTCAGTCACAGAGACCTGGCAGTCACAGAGACCTGGCAGCCACAGAGACCTGTCAGTCACAGAGACCTGGCAGTCACAGAGACCTGGCAGCCACAGAGACCTGTCAGTCACAGAGACCTGGCAGTCACAGAGACCTGGCAGCCACAGAGACCTGTCAGTCACAGAGACCTGGCAGTCACAGAGACCTGGCAGCCACAGAGACCTGTCAGTCACAGAGACCTGGCAGTCACAGAGACCTGGCAGCCACAGAGACCTGTCAGTCACAGAGACCTGGCAGTCACAGAGACCTGGCAGCCACAGAGACCTGTCAGTCACAGAGACCTGGCAGTCACAGAGACCTGGCAGCCACAGAGACCTGTCAGTCACAGAGACCTGGCAGTCACAGAGACCTGGCAGCCACAGAGACCTGTCAGTCACAGAGACCTGGCAGTCACAGAGACCTGGCAGCCACAGAGACCTGTCAGTCACAGAGACCTGGCAGTCACAGAGACCTGGCAGCCACAGAGACCTGTCAGTCACAGAGACCTGGCAGTCACAGAGACCTGGCAGCCACAGAGACCTGTCAGTCACAGAGACCTGGCAGTCACAGAGACCTGGCAGCCACAGAGACCTGTCAGTCACAGAGACCTGGCAGTCACAGAGACCTGGCAGCCACAGAGACCTGTCAGTCACAGAGACCTGGCAGTCACAGAGACCTGGCAGCCACAGAGACCTGTCAGTCACAGAGACCTGGCAGTCACAGAGACCTGGCAGCCACAGAGACCTGTCAGTCACAGAGACCTGGCAGTCACAGAGACCTGGCAGCCACAGAGACCTGTCAGTCACAGAGACCTGGCAGTCACAGAGACCTGGCAGCCACAGAGACCTGTCAGTCACAGAGACCTGGCAGTCACAGAGACCTGGCAGCCACAGAGACCTGTCAGTCACAGAGACCTGGCAGTCACAGAGACCTGGCAGCCACAGAGACCTGTCAGTCACAGAGACCTGGCAGTCACAGAGACCTGGCAGCCACAGAGACCTGTCAGTCACAGAGACCTGGCAGTCACAGAGACCTGGCAGCCACAGAGACCTGTCAGTCACAGAGACCTGGCAGTCACAGAGACCTGGCAGCCACAGAGACCTGTCAGTCACAGAGACCTGGCAGTCACAGAGACCTGGCAGCCACAGAGACCTGTCAGTCACAGAGACCTGGCAGTCACAGAGACCTGGCAGCCACAGAGACCTGTCAGTCACAGAGACCTGGCAGTCACAGAGACCTGGCAGCCACAGAGACCTGTCAGTCACAGAGACCTGGCAGTCACAGAGACCTGGCAGCCACAGAGACCTGTCAGTCACAGAGACCTGGCAGTCACAGAGACCTGGCAGCCACAGAGACCTGGCAGTCACAGAGACCTGTCAGTCACATGATGACACCACAGCATCCAGCTTCTCCCGACGTCTGCACTTTGACCTCTGCTTCCTTATCTGTCGGGGTGTGTAGAACAAACAGTGTTGCTTGGTGTGCCAAGGAGATGGCCCCCATGGGCGGGCAGTGCAGGTGTGCCATGGAGAGCGTGGCAGTCCGCGCTCCCTGCCGCACGGCGTGGGGGTGACTACCCGGGACACGGTGCTGCTCCCCAGGTCCGCCAGCCCCCCTCCAGTGGTTCTGGATGTAGGCACAGCGAGCTGAGGTGTCTCTGACCTTCTGTTAGGGGGCTTTTAATATTTGGTATTTTCCCTGTGGGGCCTTCTCTGTCCGCACGGCCATCAGGGACCGTCCCTGGCGGTGGTAGTCTCTGGAATGTGAACTGTCTCCACTCGTTTGTCTTTGGCAGTTGTTTTTGTAAATCACCCACCTCCTTTGAAAAACTCTGTGTTTATATTGAAGTATTTTAAAGTAAAATATAGACAGTTTACCTCTGAATACTCCCCTATGCATCCTTTAGAATAAGGACATTGTGCTGCGTGGCCAGCTGACCCTTATCACAAGTGACCATTCCTGATGGTGCCTGACACCCTGGCTGGTCGGCAGCCCCCTCGTCCTGCTGCACGGTCCCTGAGGTCTCACCCAGGCAGAGCCTCTGTGACAGTGACAGGGGCTGTGGAAGGGACCAGCCTCATGTGCTGCAGAGCACCCACCTCCTGTGCTGGGAGCTGGTCCATCCTTGCTGTTTCAAGGGACCTGGCGTATATGGCATACTGTTCTTAATATGTTTGCTCACCTTCTTGGCACTATGTGTTTTAACCAAGGTCACCTCTCTGAGAAAGGTTGTTTCCCCAGGTAGGGATTTTCCCCTGAAGTTAGGGAGGGAATAAAACGCCCTAAGTAAGTGCCAGGAGGGTAATTA